GCCTTACGTTCGCAATGACAATTAACAATCACAAGGCCAATCGCTTAATGTTCGCGGGATAAATTTAGAAAATCATTGTTTTTCACATGGGCAGTTATACGTTGCCTGTTCACGAGTTGTGAAATCATCCGCTTTGTTTGTGTTAACGTCAGACCAAAAAACAAAAAATGTGTATTACCAAAGAGCACTTCAATGCAACTGATAACTTGCGGATTCACTTTCTACTGCTATACTTATAGAAGTTCAACTAAAAACACTTCATTTTGTAAGCGTAATGAAATCATTTTTTTCCTTTTCAAATATAAAGCAAACATAAAATTTCTTCATCTTTCTCACGAAACCATCTGGTGGCGAAACGGAGTTCGTCGGGTTTGCTAGTATTTATATATATACAGGGTGGCTGATATGTATTGCAACCAATTTCAGACCGCTATTATGTCTAAACCGCTCGTCAGACAGATGACAGATTTATTCCAGTGATTGTTCATTTAATTGTTTAGAAGCGTACAAGAGCATTTTGATCTATTGCATTCAGTAAAAAGTTATTCGTTGTGGAAGTCAAGCGTGATAGTGCGATTGCTTCATACTTGGCTGAAAAACCTTAGGTGGCTATATTTCGAGCCCTCCAGTATTTAAATGCGAACAAATATTTTATTTCTCGTACCATATCTCGTAACGGTGATACACTCAGTGTTGCACCGCGTCCAAAAAGTGGACGAAAAAAAAACACTAACAACCCCAGAAATGATCCAAAAAGTATAGGCAAAAATCAATCGAAATTCGTGTCGCAGTGGTAAAAAAATGGCCCGTGAGCTGAACATATCGCAAAAACGGATGCAACACATATTGAAAAATGAGCTTGGACTAAAGCCATTGAAGTTCCAAAAAGTGCAAGAGCTCATCGATGCACAAAACACCTTCGATTGGCTACCAGAACTCAAGCGCCGCCGACGGTAATGGTGTGAACCATCGTAACGGCCGATGGTGACATTCCGCTCTTATTCATCGACCGTGGGATCAAAATAATTGCCGAAATTATCGGGAATATGTCTTAAAGGCAGTATTGAAGTCCTGGGTAGACAAAAATTTCGATCGCAGACCATGGACCTTCCAACAGGACTCAGCACCATCAAACTCAGCACGCGTCTACCAAAAATGGCTTATAAAAGAAGTTTTTCGCTTCATTTCTATCGCACAATAGCCACCAAAATCTCTGTATCTAAATTCGCTGGACTTTTGTGTCTTGGACATTTTGAACAGTAAGGTTCGCACTAAAAAATACCAAAGTGTCGATCATCCCAAGAAGGCGCCTCGCCGGGAATGGGCCAAAATACCCCAGAGCCACTTTCGTGCAGCGTGTTATGGTTTTTCAGCCGCTTGAAGGCCATAATTCGTGCCAAAGGTGGTCAATTAGAACAAATATAAACTGATTCTAAAATTTGATGTTATTTCTGACATTTTTGCTTTTGAACAATGAAATTTAAAATGAAAATGACAAAGTTTATAGCAATACATATCAGCCACCCTGTATATATATATATATATATATATATATATATATATTCATATGCATATTTATACTACTCGAAAAAATATATCCTCTCAGATGGATTCATTTAGCATTTCTTCTTAATGTAAACATTTTTAAGTGGGTTGACTGATAAGATCACCACTGTATATTATATGAACGAAAAAATATATAGTAATTATAACTATTTCTTCGAAAATATTAAAATATTGTTATTAATCATTGATCAATATTTATTGATTCGATAGAAAAAATCCAGCAATTTGCCTGCAGGCAGTACAATACCACGCACCCTTAATTTCCTTTTTTTTTAGATCTATAAAACCGCTGAAGCTGCCTTACCAAAATTAGTCAATTCAAAAACGATTTTAGAAATATTCGGAAATCCAACTCAAAAATAAATTGCCATTTATGCACTTTTTTCTCCTTATCTTCGAAAAGCCAAAAACTAATTAGAACATATACGCCAAAATGTTGACCTTATTGAAACGTGAATTTATGCAAAATGATTCCTTTGCGATTCGAATAAGTCGTATAACTATACTATAATTTAAGTAATTTGATATAACTAGCGCATGACATCGTGCCTTAAGGCAAATTGCTGGAACTTTCCGTATGAAAATAAACAATAATTATTTTGAATAATTTCAAATAGAAAATTCATTATAAATACATACTGTAAACTTGGAAGCGCTTTTTAAATTAGAATTTTTTGATAATTTAGAAATTTTTTCAAAATTTTGAATTTTTATAGAAGTTTGGAATTTTTTGCAATAACTTGATTTTTTGAAAATTTCGAAATATTCTCAAATGTTTGTAAGAAACATTTTTATTTAATTTTGATATTTTAAAAAAATCAAAATTTAGTTTTTTATGAAAATGACAATTTTCGAAAATTTGATTTTTTTTTTATTTTTAAAATTACAAAATATTCTGTAAAAGCATTTTTTGCACACCGTCTACTTAAGCAAAATGTTTTTTGAATTAATTTAATCGTATAATCCGTTTCTCAAAAACTGAATAAAATTTTTGACTATTTTTGCCCCGTATCTTCGAAACGGCTATACCTAAAAACTAATCAGCACGTCTCCTTATCAATACGAATCGAAGGTTTTTAGAATTATTCAAATCGGTTGATCGGTGTTCCCGAAATCGTCGATCCCGAAATTGATAACCGCACACGCACACACGCACACACGCCCACACACACATACATCCATTTTTTCTAAGGTATGCCAAAATATTCAGAAACCTTTGAAACGTAAAGATATATAGAAAAATTTATTTGCGATTACTATAACTTGCGCCACGGGAAGTTAAAATATTTGTTTAAATAAAAAAGTAAAATTCTGACTTTTAAAAAAAGCGCCTGATCAGATAGGGCCTAAGGCGACGGAAGCCTAATCCGGCACGTGGACCTGTGTAATCAATGTTTTAATGTACATGTACATATTAATTTTATAGAGCGAATTAAATTGGGTGGTAATTGTGATAGATAAGTTTTCACATATTTAATATTTGCTCATATGTAAACTATTATTTCAGAAATATTTACCTATGCTGCCTTTCAATGAGATGTGCTTTTTATTGATTACTAACAGTTATCAGAAATAAATTAAATATCATATAATTATAGTTATAGATTAAAGAAGTGCACTGATGGGCCTTTGGGCATGCTGAGCCTGATTGAAACATTAAATAATCACACATAAAATTAATATATTATTTATTTTACGTTTGGTAAATATTGCATAAAATCTCATTAATTTTATTGAGCCACGTTGGTTTACAATAATACACCATAAAAATTTGAACAATGATATACAATTATATAAAATATCATATTGTGTTTAATATTGTAGATATTATAATTCGAGAAAATCTTCGAATCTATTAGGTCTATATTCAAATCTAATTAATACTCTCTAATATACACAACAGTAATTCTAATATTATTACAATGTCTAATATTTCTATTTCACAATAAAATTAGTAATGCTTAGTGGCACTATTTGTAAAAAAAATTATATATATATATATATATATATATATTCATATATATATATATATATATATATATATTATATTATATGTATATATATGAATAAATATGTGTGTATATAAGTATATAATAACTGATTACTTATGATTAGTTTGATTTGAAAAATAATGCCTAACATATCAAAAAAATTGGATATTATAATTGTTATTTGCTTTATGAATCATGTCAAGTGTAAAAACATTTTAATAAAAGAGAGCAAATATTAATCCACTCTCCACTATAAAACTTAATGTGTGTCATCATTATGAAACCAGGAAAAATACAAAAAAAATAATTTATTAAACACTTTAGGAACATTTTTGTAATGGAATTACATATATACCTTTTATATTTTTTTTGTTCAAATAATATACATTTATGATTAATTAAACTTTAATGTAGAAAAATAGTTATTTCGCTGTAAATATACATAGGAATAATATTGGTTAATTTAATTTTTAATTAAACTTATATAAGAAATTCATTCTATACTGGTCAATAAATAACTATATGTAAATATAGCCCCTACTCGGTATTGCTGCAAATATAAAAAGTTATAAGCATTTAGTTATTCTAACAAATTCATCAAACATAGATAGGTCAACCGTTGAGTTGCCTTCGAAAATCCACGTTATTAAGAATGTCGTCGCAACAAGTTATGTTGTTCTTTTGCACAAGTTTAGTGTTAATAAATTTTTCTTAGTTTTTCCTGGTTTTATTACTGAATGATGGCACACATTTAATAATATAAAGTGTTTAATTGGATAAAGACTTTTTCTATTTTAACCTTTTTTAATTCGACGATTGGATTGCAAAATATTTCAAATATATATATATAATATAATATATATATATATATATATATATATAATATTATATAGTGAAAAAACACATTCTTGACTTTATATATGGAAGATAATCGTTTCTTGCATTATAATTTCGATTGCATATTTGGCATTTTGATCAAAATTTTATATACAAATCTATTCAAGAAATTTAATTATATTATAATAAAATAATAAAATATTGCTCTCATGTTAAAAACAACATATCTAATGACTTTAATTTTATTTTTATTTACATAGTAATTGAAAGAAAGTTGTATATTTGACTTACAAATTTATGAAATCAAACAGATTCTATTCTATGCTGTAAAAACTATTAGGTCCGACTTTCAAGATCTTGTACTGCAACATATTAGATTGAATATTTTAAAGTAGAAATTAAACTTGGATTTTTAATTGTTAAAACATATAAACTAGAACAGATGGATAAAAAATAGTAAGATTGGGTAATAAAAATATTGATATTCAATTGGGTTAACTTGATAACATGATGACAATCTTTATAAAAAGGTATAAATTGTAATTTAAAGGCATGCAATGTAAGTCTGTTTTTATTGCATATCCCAAATGAGTACTTGTTTAAAACTATTCTCTTGCCAATTGTGGAATCAGTGTGAATCCTTCTTTTCGAATCAGTTGTCATACATTGATGATCTGGTGTAGATTTTAGGATATCAGGTTGGCCATGAGTGCTCAGTGTATTATTGCATGTCGAAGCAACAACCAGAGGTCTAAAAGACCTTCTAGATCCATTTCTTGTTAAAGTATTCATCTGAGGAGTCCCTGGTATAGCATGACCAGCGCATTCATGTAATCAGCTATTAACAAAGTGATTTCTAAAACTTTTGGTTTGCTCATCACAAACAACATTTTTTCTTCCCCTCCGCAACCATCTTCAGATCCAACAACTAACATGAAATCATCTTGGCAACCTCCAAATGTTATGACACTGCTGTAAGCAAATTTGGATACGACTGCCATTGATGTCAATTCTAGAACAGAGACGCTGTCTTCGGCTACTGCCAACCATGCAGTATTTCTATCACCAAATTTAAGCCTAGCCTGAAACATGCTTGCCCCAAATAGAGGCCACTTTCTGGCGCAAGTTAAATAGATTCTCACACAATCCATAGCACTTCTGCCTTTCAAAGCAAACCACTTACTTCCAATGAGTTCTTGAAGATCCCGTAAGCCTTCGCTAGACAGAGAATCTCTGTAGCGATAAGGATAAAATTTGTCAATGGGAATACATGTATTACCAGAGACCCGAGAACGGTCACCCAGATCAATCTGTGCCATCAAAGAAGCCATCTCTATAGCTAGTTCTCTGCTCAATGGGAAACGACCGGCCACAACTGCAAGTTATAGTAATTCATATAATATTTAAATGTTATATTTATTACTATTTATTTACTATTTATATATATAACCATCTGATTATACTTTATATATATATATATATATATATATATATATATAAATATACAAATATCAACCAGACCATAATAACCATATGAAATAAGAAATTTACGCTGCTAGCTTTTTCTTAATTTATGATTTATGATAAAGTTTTTTAACACAAAATTAATTGGCACTTTTTATTAAGCAAATTCAATTGCATTAAGAGGTTAGGGGTACTCGAAATTTTTGAAAAATCAATTTTTGTTTTTTTGCATTTTCATTAAGTTTAATATCTTGAAAATGTTATCTGAAAATTTCAAGTTGATACGATGATTACTTTTTGAGTTATTTGAGGGCGCTGAAGCAAGTGGAGAGCTCGGTACTTATACTCAAGATTATTCTCCCTTACCTTCTGGTGTTTTAAAAACTATTATACCGATTTACGACGATCTCAGCAATAATAATTTACTTTCAAGATGTGTAGTTCAAGATTGAATCCTTTATCAGAAAGAAATTAGAGCTTCAACCAATTAGTGTAAAAAATGTGCCCAAAAACCGTGAATACTAGTTCTACTATCGTACAAAATGCTGCATACATATAAATAATCATTATTAATGATTATGGATACCCTAGGACCTAATTGTGGGTATAATTCCCATTGGTATGCTGAAAAATTGGATGCTGAACGTGTGAAAGTGGCAGATCAGCGCATCAACGAGAACATTCGGGAGCCCAGAATGCTTCGTAGGCAACATCAAATGGAAATTTTGGAAATTTCTACAATGACTGATGAACATTTATATGGCCCAGAAATAGATGACTCGGTTTAAGTAATTCAATAATTCGTATTTCTGTACGAAAACCCAATGTGAAACTTTAAACGCGTTTTTCTCAAAACCTTATGCTTATTTATCTATGCTCAAACTAGTGATGTGCCGACTCGAAAAATTCCCGATTCGAATGATTCGAATCAGAAAAAAACCTGATTCGAATCATGATTCGAATCAACTCGAATCAAGTATATATATGGACAAAAAAAATCATGGATGTATTAATTTAGTAAAAGTGATCCAAATTTATAATCAAAATTGTCAGTTTAACCAATATAACCAACAAAGTAGAAATTGTAAACATAAATCACTATCAAAAAGTATATTCTGAAAATTATTAAAAATGATGTAATTTTGAGGACGGCTAAAACATATCTTCAAATTAATTTACAATAATAGATTACCAAACAATTGTGCATCACTAAAGCATATAAAATAATATTTGGAATCATGGGTCGATTGTTTATTTTACTATGTAATCAGTAAAGGATGGCATCTAAACTGAGAGCTGAAAGTTAATTTCATTAATGTGAATTTGCCATTACTTACATAATCAGAAGTTAACATATTATTTACTGACTTTCTGGTGTTTAGTAATTGTTTCAAAAGAGAATTATATTGAAAGATTCCCGAAACTCGTTTCATAATTTCGAGTGGTTTATTCTAATAACATTTAAAATCTAAAACACTTAATTATTATCAAAATTGGGTATTGATATTTCACGAATAAAATCGCTCTCAGCGCTCCGTAAAATAAATAAACACGCAAGAACGACGACGCATTGTATCGCCTATACGGTTAACTCATATCGCTCGAACGGCTTGAAGTCGGGATGATTCGAATCAAAATTGAAGTCGGAATAACTCGAAACGCCGCTTGATTCGGTTTGGCTCATGAAGTCGGAACAACTCATAACGCCGCTTGATTCGAGTTGGCTCATATGAAGTCGGAACAACTCATAACGCCGCTTGATTCGAGTTGGCTCATATGAAGTCGGAACAACTCATATCGCCGCTTGATTCGAGTTGGCTCATATGAAGTCGGAATAACTCATATCGCCGCTTGATTCGGTTTGAGTCATATGAAGTCGGATGATATAGTTAGTCGATGAATGCGGTTAAAGTCACACAAAGACGATTGGAGTTAGCTGATACATTTAAGCATATTAAAGTCGGGTGGCTCGCATGATTTAATTCATTATTTATTTTTTATATTTATGATATTTATTTTTTATATTATTATAATATTGAATTAAATTAAAACATTTTTTTATATTTATATTTATGAAAAATTTTATATTTATGAAAAATTTGTGTTAATACATATTTTATCACAGTAAATATTTCGCGGCTTGATGCGAGTTGATTCGAATCAAGTAAAATCTGATTCGAATCAAGTCGTTAAAGGCTTGATTCGAATGATTCGAATCACTTGATTCGACTTGGCACATCACTAGCTCAAACCTATATTTTTTGAACTGGTGACAACTGTAACTCAAAAACCGCTTAGTAGATTTTAATGAAATTCATACAGCTTTTAGAATACATAACAAACTCGGGCCTGATCGAAGGATTTTTATTTTTTCAAAAATTTAAATTTTTAAGACCAATTATCTGTTGATTTGTTCCAAAAATCTAGATTTTTTCTGATGCCGCCATTTTGTTAATTTTTGCAAAAACAAGAAAAGCTTCAATCAGGCCCAGGATTATCTATTTACAAAACTATTTTTCGATATTTTAGATGAACATTATTCGATAGATTTTAGATGAACCTCCAAGGAGCTATGACTGTCACCGCCAGGACCGTTTTCTTAAACTGGGTCACTAAAAACAGCTATAACTTTAGAAATAATTTATTAACTTCCCGAAGGAGAAGTTTATGTTTTCATCAAAAAATCCGAATTGCTAATTTTATGTTTTCTCGACGTTTCAAGCCATTCTGAATCGAATGAGACCAAATTTGGAAAAAGTAAGTGTGTGTGTGTGCGTGTATGTGAACAGATTTTTTGTCGTAAATCGACGTTTTCTCGAAAACGGCTGGGCCGATTTCAAAAATTTAAAAGCCATTCGATGTATCTCAACGAGGACTATCGTTTTGTGCGACGATCGGCCAAGCCGTTTCTTTATAAATCGCAGGAAAGTGAAAAATTTTTCATCTACGTTTTAGCCCGCAATTCTGAATCGATTTTGAAAATTCAAAAACCGTTCGAAAGATATTGGTTGGGAATCGTGCTGATTAGTTTTTGGTAGAGATCGGCCGGGCCGTTTTCTTGTAATAAAGTTTTCAAAAAAAAAAAAAAATCGACGATTTTTATGATTATTTTTTTGACGGTAGATACCAGTCTTCTAGAGATCATACTAAAAAATTACGGCCCTACGACAGCTTTAAAAATTCGTCAAAGTTTGCAAAAATTGGTATCGTTTTTTTGGCATTTGTCAAAATTAGACTTTTGTTCGGCGTTTTCTCAAAAACGCATGAACCGATTTTAGAAATTTAAAAGCCATTTGATGTATTTCGGTGAGGACTATCGTTTGTCAGTTTTGTGCGACGATCTGCCAAGCCGTTTCTTTGCAATTTGAAAAAAAGTGTTAAACTTTTCGTGCACATTTACGCTCATCCTACCGAACCGATTTTAAAAAATCAAAAACTGGTCGAAAGATATTAGTTGGGAATGGTACTGATTAATTTTAGGTGAAAATCTACCGAGTCGTTTTCTTATAATGAACTGTTGAAAAAAAATTTAAGCCGATTTTCATGGAACTTTTTTGACGGTATACATCATGGTTTTATAGAACTTACTGTAATATTACGGCCTTACGACAAGCAGTTTAATTTTAAAAATTCGTCAAACTTTGTTAAAATTGTTATCGTTTTTTTTAAGGTAGGATTGATGAAAAATATTATTTACACATTTTTTTTTGGATTAAGTCGATTATTTACACATATCGGGAAGTTCATGTAACTTGCCTCAAGGCTAAATACCAAACCAACTAGTTTACTAAAAAAAATTGAAAACGAAAATTTTCTAGAAAACGTTACTGTTATAATATGCGAATTAAAACCATTAAATAATTACTTACTTTGCTGATTAACCTGGTAGCACATTAACAAACGTTCCTTATCTGTTTCCATGCGGGCTGAATGTTTCCAGTAAAGACGGTTCTTGTAGGTTAATTGGATTACTCGAGAATTTTCAAATTTACCAGAGCCTTTTTCTCGAAGCGCTGTTTCCCATCTTGATATTACATCGCATAGCTAAAAGCCAAATATAATGTTATATTTATACTCACTACTCGGGGTAATAATATTTTTTATATTACGATTTTAATTTTAAAAGGATAAAATTAAGAAGAATCTCATCACGTATGTGGTAAAATATAATGATAGAATGATGTATATGGTATGCTTTTTATATGCATCTATACTGCAATAAAATATTGCAAAAATATATGAGAAACAGGTCAGACGCAATAAGTTTATGTAAAACAAAACTTCGCTTTCAATACATCGTTCAGTAATTAAACATTCGCATTAAAACATTTGCCTTAATTCACAAGCACCTTTATAAAACTTTGTATTTATTATTCCATTTTTAATAGTTTAATATTAAATATTTTTTGTTTTGTTATATAACTCTGTGTTTGATTATTTAGTGTTCTCATTTTTGTGTTTAGATTTTGATTATTCGTATGCATTGATTAAGTCAAATCAAGGCACGAAACGTTCGCTATTATAATAATAAAAACATTCTTTATGCAATTTCTTGAAGTAAAACTCGTTTAGGCGCGACTAGGGTGTAAATCTGTACAAATGCAACGGAAGTACTGTTACGCCCGAACTGTTCGTCATTCGCTCTCGATGAAAACATTTCTATACGGGTCGATTGTGATTGGCCGCCGTGTATGTGAATAGATTTCTATCGTTGTATGCGTACCAGCATCAACGTTGTATGCATGCCGATATCAACAAGAAAATCGGCATAGATAAATATTTTAAAGTTACATCGTAATACAAATGCATGAATCGGAAGAATATTTTACTCAGTTCCTTGAAAATAATAAAACCAATTAAATATGTTTTAGGCAAGAGAGATATTACAGCTGTTCAAAGAATGAGATTATATCGCCAGCGAAAAAGTAAAAAAAATACAAGCAGTCAATGAATTAATGTTAATTTTAATTACATGAAGTTCTTCAAACACAATTACATGATGAGTGAAGTTGCGAAAACAATATTTGTTTAGGCGTTGTTTAACATAATCCACTGTGTGAACGAATATTATAGAATTTATTAATCAGCAATTACTTCATTTCTCTAATGAAAGCTCATTTCGAAATGCTAATTACAATGGCAAACCGATCATGTCATATTTGAAGTATGACTTCAATTACATTATTGTTTTTAAATATTATACATATTTTTAATGCTATTACAAATATATAATTTATAATTTATCATTATATAAATGTGTATAATGGTTGACACTAATTAATGTGTGCATCAGGAGTGTTTCCATATTACTAATTAACATTATTCAAAATTGTTATATGATGTATTTATTTTTACTTAAAAGCCATCTTGTACAGTAGCAAATGAGTTTTACTTCAATCGCGTGTGAATTACGTTTGTGACATAATATGAACAAATAAAGATACCCACCTTGGATGCTGGTTCAATAAAGTTTTCCAAATCCTTTTCAATTGGATCGTCACTAAATAATGTAAAACCATTAGCTGAGCTATCTCTGCAAGCTATCTCCTGGCTCAACGTCCTTAAAAATTCTTCGATAGTTGTAGAACCATCAAAACCGACGACTTGATAAGCACCATTGGCCATATGAACTGGTATAGAGTGAGGTAAAGAGTGGTGGTAAGGATTCTTCAAAAGTATACTCAAGACTTCCATTCGTGACGGTTTTAACTCCCTTCCACCATTTTGTATAGTTCTCTCCAAAGCCCTTTCACAATAGGCCGCGTATTTGCCACATTCTGTTTTTGTCTCGCAAGAGTTGCGTGATAAATGTAACTTAAGATACCATAACAAACGGCTATTTCGAGGTGTAAATAAGCTTACGGCCAAAGCTAGAAGTTGCCAACACTGGATGAAGCTGTAAGTCGGAGGATTGCTTTTACAACATGCCGGTGTTGATGGAATTGCTGGTGTCTAAAAAAACCATAAAAATGTCATTCGAGTAAGAAACAACACATAATTTTATTATTATGCTTTTTATTATTATGTTGCTTAGAGAAAGCAACGATTACTTTAGAAAAAAAACACACAATGACACTCCATTTAAAACAGTTAAATATAGTAACCTATTTTAAGTACTAATATTTGCAAATAAACAACAAATATCAAATCAATACACTAATATAATTGCTGAAAAGAACAAATTTTAAAATTATTAATAAATGATCCAAGTTCTACCTCACAAGTTTTAAATGTATCATTAATATGAAGTAAAAATAAATATAAATGCATTCTTGAAAACATAGGATGTGGGCGACAAATATAGTCTCCATTTTCGAAATAGTTCGATAACTTTATTTCACCTTTCTACCTCTTTATTTGCCTGAGATAAAGATGCGAAAGATAGTATGGTCCCATTTTTCAAGCTCACTTTTGGTCGTACTAGTTAGTCTTTTGAGGTAAAGATTAAATAAATAAAGAAAAATCTAACTTGATTGAGACAAAATGCGAAAGAGAGACAAAATAAGAAAAAAAAAAAGATGCGCGTAAGGATCACACGCGATTGAAGTAAAACTTTTAATATTGTATGAGTAGGCAATTAAGATAAAAATAAAAAAAACATCATATTTGAATTTTAAAAATCATTTATTAATAATCACATAACATCAATAACACAGTTTAAAACAACATCGATAGATTAATTGCTATCATATTTCATATATGATATAATAGGTTTGTGATAACTGAAATGAGAGACATAAATTTTGCTTTGTAAACTATGTACATTTCTGGAGAAAACTGCATCAATAGTCGTGCCATATCTTGTGGTTGATTCAAATGGAGAATTATTCATTGTTAAATTAAATTTATTATTTAAAAAATCAATTAATGGTTGAGATTCTTCTGAACGAAAATTGACATTGAAATCTCCAGCAAGAATTAATGGTATCTCGTTGTGATTAGTGTTTAAAAGTTTTGCACCCTCATAAGAAAAATGAAGTAACTGCTGATGAAGAAATTTAATAATATTTGATATGTTTTTATTGGGAGAAATGTAAAGGACGACTATAATTAATGTTTGATTCTGTGTGTGTAATATCACCTACTTGTGTAATTTCATTAGGAATATCCAGTAATATCGTTGGCGCAAGAAACTGCATAGGAGTCGCATTATGAAGAGTATCTGAACATGAATGATAGACAGCTACACCACCTGCTCTTGAGTCCGATCGTTTGTATTGAGTAACGCAGTAATAGTTCTGAATATCAATTCGTTCTTCATTATTAATCCAAGTTTCCGAAAATAACAAAAACGTACAACGTTGTAGCACTTTATCTTGCAGATCAGGCACATGAGCTCGTAAACTTTGGCAGTTAAAGGAAAACAATGAAATGTCGTTCAAACTTATTATCTCACTCAATTTTTCTTCTTGTGTTATTAATCTACAAGTTGAAAGTCTTTGGAATTCAGTTTTTAAGTTCATTAATCCTGCTGGCCGTTTTCTTCCATGATAAAATTTTTTGAAATGATGAACAATCCATTAATGCAACATAATGCAACATATAGAAGCTGCTGATTATGTGTTTTATTGTATTCATATACAATTTTATCAAAAGTACCACCTTGTGATTTGTGTATTGTGAGTACACATGCAGACACTAAAGGAAAATGATTTCTTTTGACAAATATGATTTTATTTCTGTTCATTGGAATAGATGAAGATCTCCTGAGAATCGGCACAGCTGTCTTACTGATATTAAGAGTTTGAATATGATGTGCAGCTTTCTTCTTATTTTGTTACCTATCTTACCAGGAAATTCAAACCATAAACGTAGAAGTTCATCATTATCGCCACGTTCTATGTACACTAATTTTCCTACACAACCATTAGCTAAGCCATCACTTACATCAATATTAGTTGTTATTATGTAAAATTTATTCAGAACTAAAATTATTTCATACGGCAAACCCCCGGTATCAATAACCGATTTTTGTGAAACTGCTGACGAATGTATGATTGTTGATCTGTCGCATGGCAACCTACATAAATATCCGTGGCAGTAGATATTATTTTGTCTTCAACGAGATTCAGTATAAATTTATTATATTCCATGACACATTTATTCTCTAAGAAAAGTCTTATTCCATGAGGACATAACATAAAAAACGTGATTCAATTAATGCAAGTTCATATAGGGTTTAGCGCTCGACTTACGCATGACATGACGGGAGTGGATACCGCGACATCAGCGCTTACCGCGTCGTAGTGTTCAACTTCACGTTGGCGTTTCGTTGCATTTGTACGGATTTACACCCGTGTAGCCTAAAGAAATTTTTACACCCATATCGCGCCTAAAGAAGTTTTACTTCAAAAAATCACAAGGATTTCTTTGATTTGTGTGTGTGGTGTATATATATATATATATGTAGTGGTATTCACCCATTTGTAATAATTATAAATAATATTATAAACTACTATATAAGGGTCAGAATACAAACAACACAGTTACTGTTACTCATAGCTACAATACATTGTATGCTCGCAGTAACCTTGCAAGCGTTGATAAAATTCCTTTTCAAACCACAAACGGCGCCTTAACAACTAAGTAAAGCGTAGTTTTGCACTATGCAGTAACATTGAACAAGGATTACAATGTCAAATTGAATCAAGCACATAAATACTAAGCAATGACGCATTTGTTGTTCAGCCGTCATCAAGTTTTCAATAAGTTCACATCAATTTAGTTCAGTCGTAATAAAGTTATCATAATGTTCAGTCAATATGAGTCATTAGTATTTAGTAATCAAGGGAGTTATATTTAAGTTCAGTTGTTCAAGTTATATGCAAAGTCTACAAGAATCATGAAATAAACAAAAACATCAAACGTCTTCAATCTGTTTCACTGATTCGCTTTCACAGTTGGTACCCGCTTGTTAGCAGTAGGAAGAACCTACATATTGTTGGCACCGTCGCTGGATGGGGCACAACAATATATTGTAATACATATGAAATCCTAAAAAATGCATATTGACCTTGACTAAACATCTTAAAATTATGAAAACATAATGATTACCTAAATTATTATTATGAAAACATAATGATTACCAAACCAAAATAATCACTTTCCGAGGTGGCTTAATATAGGCTAATCGGACTGATGTCAATTCTTTCAAAAATTATATAAAAATGGAAAACTATCAATAATCCCAGACTATTAGTTTCAAACAAATAAATAATGATTCAGCAAGATCAATGAATTATTATTGCGTTTGACAAAAACCATATATATTATAAATTACACTGATGATAAGACAAATCTAGTCTCGAAACGCTGTTAAGATTTATTAATAAATACATAGTGCTTAAAGGGTGATCATATTTCTACTCACAATATATATATATATATATATATATATATATATATATATACATACATACATATAAGAATGCATCGGATGTATATATATATGTGTCAAATGTGTGATCATAGGATAGATTGTGTTGATAGTTTAGAATAAACATAAATGAAGAAAAACACAGATTAAAAATAAACTTTATAAATAATAAACTTTAATTAAACGCAATGTACTCTGTTATTGTCGAATAAATTATCGTCAAATAAAATAGCTCTATTTATCCGTCAAACACGTTTCATTGCCACTATAAGTTCACCGATCTGAAAAATATTGTTAATAATTATATTAATTAATTATGTTAATTCTATTTCAAATATAACGTAATTATGAACAATTTTTAACCACATTGATATGTTTTGGTTATATAGTTTGCTTGCTTAGTGAAACATAATCTGGAGCTAAAAATAAAAAAAGTCGTGGCTAGAAAAAATGCCATATGATTGATTGATTTCAATAATTTCAGACAAATCGATAATTGTCAAAATTTCCTAATTTCATAAATTTAGTACTAAAATTATCACATCCAGTAATTATTAATCGACTTAAAAATGGAAAAATGTATATTTTTAATTATTGGATCGTGCAAATACATAGTTTTTAAATATATTAATCTACATAAACGAATTTTCTTAGGCAACTGAAGTCGAATCATTAAGTAGTCATGTATAACAAAACAAAAGAAAAATCTTTTATCTTTTATCACCCACTATTATTAAAACGTTTGTACCGATTATTGACAGTATTGCTTCTGTGTAATAATGCTTTTGATAAAAGCTAGAATTTATAATAATAATGAAAGATTATTTTTCATAAAGAGTTGTTATTGCTTTTTGTTAACTCGATCGCTACGAATGTCGTCGATGGACGGCATTCACATGACGTGCTATGTGTACGCATGTCGTTCGTGGATGACATCCGTTTAACGTGCTGTTTGTACGGATGTCGTCCATGGACGACATAGCGTGTCGGGCTTCGCTTCAATTTTCGTCACTAGTTTAACGCTTTAAGATTCATCATGAGTTAAAGTATAGATAACTCCTTTTTTATTGTAATTTTTAGTTTATTGCTTTTCTGATAATTTTTAGGTTTTTTACTATTACATTTAACTATATATTATTGAATACATTTCAAATGTAGAAAAGACTAAGCAATGTTCCTAAAAGCAAGAAAAGCAATGTTCCTAAAGGCAAGAAAAGTACACCAATATGAATATGTTCGTATTTTTTCTGAATTATGCGACAGTGAGAAAAGTTCTATTCAAAAGAAGACGAAAACAGGAATTATAAAAGACGATATTAAATGAATTAAAAACTTAATTTTTTATCCCCTGCATTGTGAGAATAAACGTCTTTACAAATTTCGTACAGAAATATTTGTTGCAAAAAAATGGAAACCAAAATAACAATTATTTCCACTTTTTTAAATAAATCTATCGAATCCTAGATCGGAATGAGCCATTTTATATTTTAAAATTCTTATGACTTATATCACATAAAACATGTATGTGCTTCAATAAAATATTGCTGAAGATATTAGTATGCCTATCACCTGTCTAGAATTGATGGGGCAAATTTAAATAATTTTAATAGACCTATAATTTTTTATTTTATCTAAGAAAATATTCTTAGCAAAAATATTATTTCAATTTCATTGAAAATGTATTAATCATGATGGTTGAAATGAGTTTCATAATTGGTTTATGAAAGGTAATCGAGAGATGGTGAAAAGATTCACAATTAATTTTTGATAAAAATTATTCTATTTTGTATCATTTACTTCAAGCACATAGCAAAATAACTAGAGCAAACGCATTGAAATAAAAAATAAACAATAACCAACATTTGCAAAAAAAATAACCACAAAATGCAAACAGAAAATTTTCATCAGAATATAAATGAAAATAAATTAAAGTGAGTGATTTTGATAGTGTATACTGGGTGGTTTTGAAATCACCCACCTGTATGGAGTTAGTAGGCGAACCATTATCGACGCTAGCGTGCGCATTCTGCACACCATGCGTATCACATGTAAACAGCGTTTGCGTGGCGCACAAGAGCAGTTGCTGCAAAAATGCAAAAACGCTCAATATGCAGCTAAAATTTGACTTTATACAGTACTATATATATTTCAAAATTATGATAGAAACATTCATGTTTATGATAATAAAATGATACAAAATAATACAGAAACAGGAGCTTTAGAGCTTTATTAAATTAGAATAAAATCAGTTTATATCACAAAGAAAAAACATTATAATTTTATTTAGGGGGAAGTCCCCGGAGTGGCAATCACCTAAGGTTATTTATAAATAAATCAAAAACTACTTTATAAAATGTTTATTAAATTATGACTTATGTTAGATAACGAAGTTAGAAATCAAACTGAATTAACAAAAACGCAACCTTTGCTAAAAAAATAATTAATACTACCAATCAAACTTTGGTAACAAAAAATATGATTTTAAAAAGTGGCACATAGCACCGGACATTTCAAATTAACCTGAATTAAACAAATATGTAGCTATCTCCACACTCTGAAATGTATTGCAAAAAAATCACTATTCATCCACTATTTCCTCCAAAATTTTCCTATCTAAAATTTCGTATTGGCTGGGCCACACCGGTGCTCTCAGCTAGAGCATTCATCACAAGCTTTTCATTCTTTGACTAAGAAAAATACGACAAATGGGGGTATGGAGTGACCGTTAGCACTCATACAGAACAAAATTAAATAATCAGAATAAATTACGTGGATTCTCACAAGAAATATCAAATTGTTTACAATCCCGCGCTAAGAAACGACTTAGTGTCCGGTGCTAAGCGACAGACATTTTCGTTCATTTTGTGGTACTTACTAAAATTGTTTAAAATATCTAATAATATTTTACCATCTTACGGATAACAATCAAGTACTAATGTAAATACATAAATATACTAGAATTACTTCCATTGATATTTAGCTGACGCCGTGATTTTGCCCCTAAACCAGCAAATGGTTGCTCCCGCCGTGTGTGCGTCACAGGCGAAAATCGGCGTATGATCCTGTACCTGTGTGCCCCCTGCGCCCCTTTCATTTTTATTTTGAAATGAAGAGATTTATATTCGCTTAAATAAAACGTGTTAAATAGAGTGTCCGGCACTAGGTGCCGTCCGGCGTTACGGGACTACCCCAGTCATGCTATCGCAGAGTCATTTTAGACAGATTTGTTCATAAAGTGAATTTGTTTCCAATAAAAATGTGTATTTGATCACTAGTACTGATCTTATGCTTATGGTAGATTATGTTCCAAACTTAAATTCCAGTTTTGCAACTGGGGTCACTTGGAATCAACATATATTTTCTGTGCATTTATGATAAAAAGCTGATAAGCAAAAACTGATGTATTGCTGCCTTCAATGCAAAATTAAATATAATAATATTATATGCTCTGCCGTAAGAGAATAAATTATTATCCTAATTACTAATTATTAGCCAAATGCCGGCCATCTAAAAGAAAGAAAGAAAAGAAGCAAGAACGGTTAAAAAATATGGGATTTGCCTATGCCAAAAACATAGGTAAATGTATGTTCATACATACAAATGAACATTTTTTTTACATTACAAATGAACTTTTTTTTTGCTACGGAAAACATTATTTGTGTGATAACAATAAATTTTTCATTAAAATAATATGCACTATGCTTACAAAATAAAGCAAATATATATATCATATATATATATATATATATATATATATATATATATATATATATAGAATATACGAAATTCTTCAGTAATAGCGTATGAAAGGTTAATCCTCCTAAACGATTATTCGGATTTTGATAATTGTCTCTGAAGTTTGTAAAGGGATCTTTTTAGGATTTTTTGATTCAAAGAAATATAGCTAGATTGTTAAATTACAAAAAACCGCTTATCATTGTTTGACGTTGAAAATATTTGAGACATTGTTTGACATTAAAAACAAATGAAGACTGTCATTTGCCAAACATTTCAATTCACTAATAGGCTAAGATAATATTAAAATATAATATATTTATGATCATAAATAAAAAAAATGTAATGTCCACAATATTATTGCCAAAAAGCATCTGAGATGTGCCAAAAATTAAAATATTATAAGATATATTCACCATGCGTCTGACAGTCTGCGCATGCGTCGAATGTTATTGAATATACCCTATAACTATATTTGACGGATTATAATTTTTTAACTTATGCCATCGTGTTTTACCTTACTCTACTAAACCACAAAAAATTTGCTTATTCAAAAAATTATTTAGAAGTTTCATTGTGTCAAAAATTCATATGGATACGGAATATTTGCTCAAGTCTGCGTTTTGGATCTGAATAATTTTACTGTGCTCCAATTTGCATGAAATTTTGGAATTAGGTTCATCTTACTTTCAAGTTCAAAAGTAAAAAAAAAATAGACTCTTTTACCACTTCCCGGGGTGATGACATCCCTTTTCAGTGGTGTGATTTTACTTTTTTCAAAATAGCGACGAATATCGATAAAAGAACTAATTATAAGAAAAAAATGTTTAATAATGTTTTTCAAAGAAGCAAATACTTTTTAAGTTACTGGCTACTGAAAATTCGTTTCTTTTTGGCGTTTTTCATCGTTTTTTGCTAATATCTTCAATAATATACTTTTTAACGAAAATCATGTAATGAACAAAATTATATCAATTAAAATCTTAACTAGTGGTGTGTATGACATCGTGCCTTAAGGCAAATCGCTGAAACTTCGCGTACCGTAACGAAATATTCGGGAAATATTAAATGCTTTCAAATAGATAAATAAATACTTTAACATTGTTTAATAAAGAATTATATAAACTGAATTTCTAAGTTGGAAATATTTGTTATTGGAACTTAAGTCAGAATTACAATTAATATCTGAATTATTTTCGATACACAAAAAAGAAATTGAAAAAAAAAATTTTGAAAAAAAAATTGAAACATTTTTTTTCTCAAAAGCAATTATTTTGTCAAAACATGCAGAAAGTTCTTTGAATCATTCATATCGGACGCTTAGTTCTCTCAATAACTGCAATTTTTTGCACATTTAGCTTTGTATCTGCGAAACCGCTAGACCTGCCTTTGCCAAAATCACCATTAATCCCCGTCATTACGAATTGAATGTTCTTCGGATCATTCAAATCCGATTATCCGATCTCTCAAAAACTCGATTTCTATTTTCTGCATTCTTTGCTCCGTATCTTCGAAACGGCTGGACCTGCCTTTGCCAAAAACTAATCACCACATCTCCCTATCGATAGGAATCGAATGTTTTTTGAACCATTTAAATCGGTTGATCCGTGCGCCCAAAAACGTCGACGAAAAAATGCGGACATACCATCCATCCATTATTTCTGAGGTATGCCAAAATGTTCAGAAATTTTCAAAACGTTGAGAAATGCACGAATTTGCATTTTCGATTTTCGGCTCATTACTATAACTACCCTACGGGAAGTTAACAATGAATTTCATTGTTTCACTATCATTATAGTACTAGTGTTTGCGTTTAAAAAACTATCCAATGAGCATTATTTTTTTCTTCTACTTATTATTGTATTGCGAAAATAAGTTACACATGTTTTGTCAAGCAATTCCAATGCGCGACCAGTTGCGTCTTTTTCGGGGTGATTTTTAGCCCTTTTTGATTTGGCTAATTTGCAAAATTAATATAGATTTTTTTCGAAATTGGAAACTTTTTAAAATTTATTTTATACCTTTATGTACCCTTGTTAACTATCTACAACATCAACGACCATATATCCCACAAAATATAAATTTAATCATTTAAAATAGCTTACCCTGGCAGGTTTAGTAAGTGACGCGGTAGCTGAAGAACCAGTCGAATGTGTGGCGTTGTGCGACAAATGTCTGGACGTCTGCTTAACCAGAGCGCATATCAGCTCCGCTTGCAGTTCGGGCGCGTCAAGGCACTGCTGCAAAGCATTTTGTGCAAGCACCACATGATAATCAATTCCTGCTTGTTCCATAGCAGCCGATGAAAATAGCTGGCAACACTAAATAAATTAATTTTGTTTTAATAGTTTGAAAGGAGATGTTAGAGAATTTAAAAAAATAGAATAAAACTCATAACATTGTTATCTTATACTTGTTTATCTATGACTCATAACGTCCTGCTAAATACATCTTTTGAAAATATTTTTTTCTCAAAAATGAACAATAGAGTTTTTCAGATAATAAAATAAACTAATTAAAAATAAAAATAATATAACAATTTAAGGAGGGTCCATTAATAACATAAAGATTTCAGGGGAGATTGACAAAAAATCACGGGAAGGGTATAGTAAGATATCACATGTATTTATTTTTTACCTGAATTTCAAACTAGCTGTAAGTGGAATTCTGTCTTAAGGCAATTAAGGCATCGTGCCTTAAGGCAAATTGCTGGAACTTCCCGTACCAAAAAATAAATATACTAAAACTGTATAAAAATACTATAACTTGCCCTACGGGAGGTTATAAAAATTCAAACATTTTCAAAACTTTTTTTTCTCGTAACTAAAAATATATGTGATGTTTGGTGGGAGATGGAGGTAATCTTGAATATCACCACGTATCACTGGGGGTCCAAAAATACTTAAAAAATCAATCACGAGATTAATGGACGCCCCCTTATATAAAAGCAAACTATGAAAATATAACATCAATTGAAAACCAACTTGATTTTGATTTATAATTTTTCATAAAAATTAATATCTTGTATCAAATAATATTCTAATTATTGTAATATTATCAACCTTAAATAGCTTAATTGCTTCTGCCTGCAGTCCCTCTGAATGCAAGGTTGTCAAAGGCGAATGAATATTGTCTTTCGTATGTAAGAGGTGAGGATGCCGCCAAATTTCACATGCTGAAATGAGTTTCAAAAATATTAATGTTCTATATATTTAAATCTTGATAAATTTTTATGCAAATATGTTTAACTAGTTGGTATTGGTATTTTGCCTTAAAGCAAGTTATATGACCTTCCCGATAAATAAATTAATTTATGAGTGGTTAAAAGTATTCGAAGTGGATTTATTACACATTATTGAAAATCCTTGAAACTTCTCCTTCGGAAAGTTAAAATGTTAAGAAGTTTTCACTTTTGGTATTTATATTATACTATTCATCTCACTAATAAATTTGTAGTTTTTTTTTTTTAATAAAAAATTCTCCTTCGGGAAGTTAAAAATAAGGTTTATATGTATTCTTATATTTTTACTTTTTATATTTATATTATACTTATTTATATCAGTAATAAATTTGTAGTTTTTTTTAAATAAAAAACAATTCAATCAACTTGATTTTGATTGACTTACTCAAACACATAAAGGTTGTCCTAGTACAAAAACGTTGTAATATATCTGAAATATATAAATACATGAAAAAATATTTACCAGGATTTCCATCAGTTTCCATAAGTTTCTGAACTAGTTGCTCATACAAGTTCCAGAATTAGACCCAGCGCCACTAACAATGGTGAGATGATATAACCAATTATCCCGTTCTTGTTTATTCGGTAGAATTAAATACGTCGGACCCTGAGGAATAATATATTAATTTATAAAAAAATTAAGTGTTGCAAACTTATCAATTGTATTTTTCATAATTATTTATATCTAACCTGATGCTCAGGGTATATAGACACTGTCAGCCTGGCTTGTGAAGTGCCACCATGTTCTTCTCTTTCTTCAGAATCGGAGTCAGAAATATGCTCAACTTCTTCAACTCGCGCGTCGCGCATGTTTATTTGCCCCATAGGATTCTAAAATTCAAAATAAAAGTAAGCAAAACAATACAGTATATCCAGAGAAAATTCGCTCAATACAAAATTTAGCCTTTCCTTATTAGATAAAGTTGATACGTTATTTCACTGCACGCTCACACAAAAGTATGCAAGTGAGAATAAAAGGATTTTTATATTTTAGGTAAACCCCAAGTATTTGAATATTTTTAAAGATGCTTTCGTTATTCAAACGTATTGATAGATTTTTTAATAGTAAAAAAATATTAAGGGAGTATTCTTGTGTAGAATTTCAAAAAAATCGATTTTTTAACTATCTAAGAATATGGGTACGAGAAGATTTTTAAAAATTTGAATTATTTTCGGAGATGTAGGCATTTTACTGACCCGGTCTCCAAACTGGTTCAGCAGGGTCTAATCGGACAAAAGGCATTAGGAGGTCATTAGAACAATTTAGAACATTTATTACTGTTTGCATATTCAATGAAGGTTTCTTTCCGATTTTAAAAATGATGACCTTTATGGTAATGCAAATTGGGCCAGAAACTCATTCATTTGCTGTAAGACGAGACAACGCCCGGATTGAACGATCTGAAATACGTACAAAGGAGCTTCAAAGGAGGCTAGAACTGCTTCGTTGGAAAAGAGAAACGAAGAAAATAGTTTTTTGAAGTAGAAGAAAGTCCGATGCATGAAGCAGGAGTGGCAGATTAAATAAAAGAAGTATAACATATCATTTTATGACTTTGACAGCAAAAAACTTCACGCAAAACTTTAAATTCGTTTTTCTCAGAACAGACTTTTCAGAACTGTTGCCACGATTTCTCGAGTTCTACTCGACTGATTCACTTGAAATGTTCAGAGAGTCTTGTTTATAAACCTATCTGTAGCCCGAACCAGCATCGTCCCCAAATTCCAATTTTTATTATTTTTTAAAAATTCGAGAAACTCAAAAAACAGTAAAAAAACACAGTTTTTTTCAAACAGTCGCCAATTTGTAAAAAAAAATTTGTTTACTCATCATTGTAGATTAATAATCTTATTTTTTTTTCATTTCCGGGGTGAAATCATGGCAAGACTGAGGTGCCAATTTTTTGAGACCCCCCACTTCATCAACCGCCCAATTTTCAACATATTTTTTTAAATTTTTGTTTGTATTTTAATAAAATTAATATACAAGTGGTAAAAAAAATGGATAGTAAAAACATTCATTGCTTTCTTTTACAAAACTTTAAAAATGACCTAAAATTCATTGCTCTACACTAGAATACCCCCTTAAGGAAATATATAATAAATAATTTGTATATTTTATTCACATAATATAATAGTGTCAAAAATTATAACAAAAAATACAGAAGTAAATTGTATAAATTGAATTTCATAATTTCATACCTGTACAAAGCTCAGTTGCTAATTTATCAATAAAAGCTATTGTATTTTTGAATAAGAATACGTTTCCATACTAAATTTTAATAACAAATTTTTCATGAATTTAAAATTATCATCTTCTCATAGACTATAGTTATAAGAATATTTAAAAATATAAAACATATGAACTTACAGTATCATTAGGCGTCTTAAATATAAAAACATTTTGCCCATTAATGAACAACCAGCATTTCTTGGCATGACCATTTTTAACTTTCGTCAACCATCCTTGAACTGTTGGTTTCTGATCCTCCTTGCTAAGCAGAAGCCTGGCCGCATTTTTCTTTGTACATTCTATAAGAAATTGGAAGTATCATATTAAAATTTAAATTAATAAATAATATAAGATAAAAAGCGTGTTATGAATAATATAATATTACATGTCTGATGATAGTCAAGACAACAAATTATGCTATTCATTTGAATCATATTGGCTACCTGATTAACAAAATAGAATTTTTGAAATAGAGTTTTTCATAGTTCAAAATAAAATTACAATATTTAAGTGGTTTGTTTTATGATATAAATATTCATATAATTTTGATTTTTATAAAACCTTTGTAAGAAATTCAAACTCTTAATTTCAGAAAACTTAAACATTTTTCACGAATATGAAATGAATAGAAATTTAATTTTTAACGAAGTAAATAGATTTATGTCAATAATGTGAAATAAAGTAATTTTATGTGTATTTCACCAGTGAAAACTAGCAAATAATGTTGAATATAAATATATATATATATTGGAAAAAAATTCATTGAGAATTCAAAACTATTTAGTAACATAAAAAGTTCAACCAATTTAGTTCAATAAAATTTAAATCCAAAATTATTCTAAACAAAACAAAGAGATCTGAACATCCATTCATCACTCATCAAAACTTTGCCAAAATGATTAAGTGACCATTCGAATTTTTAAGATTTCAATTGTTTAACTTCACAAGATTATAATATTCGTGAAAAAAATATAATCATTTTTCAATGTAAACTTACTTGTTACCTGTAATATTCTAACCCACTCTTCCATCGTAGAAATAGAATCTGCAGTCAATAATATATTTTTTCCCTGTATTAATTTCAAATGTACTGCTCCATCTTGTCTTGTTATTCTACAACTGTCATCCAAAATTATTTGTCCTTGAGGTTTTCTGTTTACATCGTGCTGCGATTTCCAATATATCAAAGCACCATTCTTCAGCACAAACCATCGCTTACGCCATGTCTGAGAAAAAATAATAGATAAATAAAATATGATATTTAAATAAAATATATATGTTTTCATCGGATCACTTTTAATTAAAAAATAAAAACAATAATGTGAAAAGTATAGTGGTTCCAATTGTGGTAAACTGCTTAGAAGAGAACTAATATGATGATACATTAAATCTTTCCGTATTTCCACACTGATACGATCATGCGCAATTGTAAGTTAAACTTTATCGGTTATTATTCTTTTTTCAGTTTTCACAATTACATCGTCTTCAAAATATTTCTAGCTGTAAGCTATGACAAATGTTTGTGAATTTTCAACTAGTTACATTTTTGAAGTAAAACATCTTTAGGCGCGACTAGGGTGTAAATCCGTACAAATACAACGGAAGTGCGTTACGGCCGAGTCGAGTGCCAATGATTCGTCATTCGCTTTCGATGATATCATTTCTATACGGGTCGATTGTGATTAGTCGTCGTGTACGTTAATAGAGACCTGTCATTGTTTGCGTACCGGCATCAAGGTTGTATGCGTACCGATATCAACAAGGAAATCGGCATAGATAAATAAACATTTTGAAGTTACATCGTAGTACAAATCTTGATTTAATGAAAAATGCCTGAATCAAAAGAATATTTTACACTATTCCTTAAAAATAATAAAACTAATTAATCATTTATTAGAAATTATTTTATATATCATTCGCAATTTCTATAAATCTTTGAAGTTATTAAAATAGAAAATATTTTTAGGCAAGACAGATATTGAAGCTGCTCAAAGTATGTGATTATATCGCCAGCGAAAAAGTAAAAAAAATACAAGGAGTCAATGAATGTATGTTAATTTTAATTACATGAAGTTCTTCAAACACAATTACATGATGAGTGAAGTTGCGAAAACAATATTTGTTTAGGCGTTGTTTTAATCCTCTGTGTGAACGAATATTATAGAATTTATTTATCAGCAATTACTTCATTTCTCTAATGAAGGTTCATTTCTAAAAGTGCTAATTACAATGACAAATCGATCATGTCATATTTGAAGTATGACTTTAATTAGATAATTGTTTTTAAATATTATACATATTTTTGATGCTATTATAAATATATAATTTATAATTTATCAATATAGAAATGTGTATAATGGTTGACACTAATAAATTTGTGCATCACAAGTGTTATCATATTACTGATAAACATTATTCAAAATTGTTATATGATGTATTTATTTTTACTTAAATGCCATCTTATACAGTAGCAAATAAGTTTTACTTCAATCGGGTGTGAACCTTAGGCACACTCTTTTTTATATTTTTATTTCATACTTCATTTTTGAATATTTTCAAAGTGTAAATTATATAAACAAATAAAAATAGTAATGTGCCAACTCAAATCAAGTTATTCGAATCATTCTAATCAAGACCTTAACCTGATTTGAAACATATTTTACTTGATTAGAGTCAACACATACCACCCCGAGAGATATTATAGCATATAAACATAAATTTTAATAAATAACGAAAATAATATTATTGAACACAAATATAAAAATAAAAAAATAATAAATAATTGGTTCGTAAAATATTATAACTTAATTTCCATAACAAATATGTGTTTATTAATTTCTAAATGAAATAATAACGATCTTAATGATAGTGTGCTGAATTTTTTCGATAAAATATTGGTATCTATCTACTAGTATGTATTGACTTGTCATAGAAAGTGGACAACTTTACAATCAGCTCTACATTTAGATAAATAAAACACACTAGCAAACGACCAAAATTATGATGCTTAATATGCTTTAGCGATGCAGAAGTGTTTATTGTGAATTAATTAGAAAATATATTTCAACCGTCTTCAAAATTAAATAATTTTTTGTTAGTAATTTATGTTTAAAGTATTTAATTGAGTATATAGGTCAAACTCAAAACTTTTTATCACAATTTACTATATAAATACATCAATTTTCTGCTTTTTTGTCCATATATAAACTCGATTCGAATTGATTCGAATCAGCTTTCTTCTAATTCAAATCATTCGAAACAAGACATTTTCGAGTCGGCACATCACTAATAAATAGTATTTAAAAAGGTGAAATAATTTTGACTTATTTTAGATCTTTAAAATATATAAATAATGCACATGGTTATAACTAAGATTACAAAAAGTAGAAAATACATTCATCAACTAATTGAACAGAACAGTCAATAGAAAATTTCTTCAAGTTCACTCATAAGAATAAATTCTTAAAATCTATCTAAAACATAAGATCACCTTCAATTTTCCTCCAAGCTTCGTAAGATGTCCAATCTTTTCTAAAGATTCGGTCCTCCTTGGACTATCTGCATAAGAAGCCCTGACTAATAAAGAAGGCATGGAGGCATCGCAAGTGGTAGCATCATAGGACAAGGCGTCGGGTGGTATTGCATAGTCATCAGATAAGCCGGACTCGAATGACGTGTCTGAAACCACTGGTCATGAGGACCCGATCGCGATCAAAATAAACATTTACACAAACAATACATAACTAAATTAAAAATAAAAAAAAATCAAATCCAAAAATTCCAACAGCAATCAAAATTGTGTTGTTTTTCAAATATTTTTTAACACAAAGGCTAAACAAAAGCAAAAAAAAAAAAAACAAATAATAGTACGTATTAAAACCATGATTCAATAAACAACTTGACTTGTCTGATCAAATAATAAGAGTTTTTCTTAAATAGATAAAACATCGGTTGAAAAATTTCTACTAACTTTTTCTTGAGTAAAGAATTACTTGAATTTCTGGCATTATATATCAAATAACTCAAAATGAACAAAATTTATTAATAAAGAACGAAAACGTCAAAAGTTTAAGAAAACATACACTACTACATATTGAATACTTTTCAATATAATAAGTTTCACAATATGTTCTATCTGTTCTGTGGTCCAAATTAGTTGGTATTGGTATTTTGACTTGAGGCAAGTTACATGAACTTCCCGATATTTGTAAATAATCGACTTAATCAATAAAAAATTAATTAATTTATGAGTGATTAAAAGTATTCTTAGTAGATTTTACACGTTAACTCGGAGCGTTTTCCAGAAGCAAACTTTCAAAAATTAATGATTTTTATAATTGAACCAGTTTCTGTAGGACTCTAATGGTTTAGTATGTTCATTAAGACCAAGTACTCTATTGTTATACCAAGTAAGTTGTCTAATTTTAATTTTAACAAACGTCAAAAAAACTACTTATTTTTTAAAATTTTGATGAATTTTTAAAATTAAACTACTTGTCATAAGGCCGTAAAAATTTAGTAAGTTCTGTAAGACCATGATATATATCGCCGAAAAAAGTTCCATAAAAATCGGCTTAAATTTTTTTTTCAATAGTTAATTACAAGAAAACGACTCGGCAGATTTTCACCAAAAACTAATCAGTATCGATTCAGAATTGCGGGCTAAAACGTTGACGAGAAACGTTGACAAAGAAACGGCTTGGCAGATCGTCGCGCAATATTGATAAACGCTAGTCCTCATCCATATACATCGAATGCCTTTTAAATTTTTGAAATCCGTCCAGCCGTTTTTGAGGAAACGTCGATTTACAGTAAAAAATCTGTTCACACACACACAGACACATTATTTTTTCAAATTTGGTCTCATTCGATTCAGAATGGCTTGAAAGGTCGAGAAAACATAAAATTAGCGAATCGGATTTTTTATGAAAACAAACTTCTCCTTCGGGAAGTTAAAAATAATTTTTAGAACATGTAAATAATTATTAAAAGTATTATAAGCAGAGCGTACAATATTTAAAAATAGAGGGAAAAATTGTAATCAGCCATCGCCTTAAATCAAGCAATGTCGCTATCAGAAGATAAACGGCAATATTTGAAAATTTATAATAGAAGCATGTTCTTTCGTTGTTAGTTTTTTTGTCTGTGATCACCGCTTAATAATTTTATAAGGTGTTAATTTCAAGTTATATTCAACAGATATTTTTATATAACCTTAAAAGATTCCATGCGGGTGGGGTAAAAAGGACTAACTAAACCTTTTCTCTGGCAGAGGTGTGAAAAATAAAATACACTGAATAAAAACGTAAATTTAGTTAAAAAAGCAATTTTACAAAAAATAAATTAAATTCATAGTAATTCCAATTCTGCTGAAAAATATTTCTGACAAAAGCCAGATCAAGGTGTGGACATAAAATTTATATTTTGCATTAGTTGAATAGTGATATTATTTCCAAATTCCTTTAAAATTAAAAATAAGATATTGAATATATTTACTCCTAGCTGTCCCAATAGTAAAAAAACATATTTCTATATTTAGGAATTTACTCGGAATTTTATTGAACATAATACGATAATTGTTTGATACTTGTGCTGTGGTATAGTTCAACTGGTTTAGACAATATAATTACTTTAAGTCAAAATGAACCTTTGAGTCCCACCCTACCTTATATTTTAAATAAATTATGATAAATTTAACAATACAAACTCAATTGTATCATTTAAATTGCAATCATACAATAAATGCTGAACATTAAAAAAATTACTGATATTATAACATAGCAGTGTTATTAATTGAAGTATTTTTATTAGTTATTAGCAAACTTGACTGATTCATAATAATTGCTTGATCGTTTTTATTATATAATGGGACGTTTTCATTCTTAGTGAAATAACAAATAAAAGTGTTCCTATACTGCCTGATTTTAGTGAGTTTGATTTTTTCACAATTTCTATGGTCTATTATTGTGCCGAATGAAATCAAAACAAAAATTAATTTAAAAAATCATTCTTTCCTCTTATTGTGCAGTTTGCAATATTTGTTTTTTTTATTATACCTCTGGGTTTGTTTTTGGCAGGCGACAAATTTTGACCGTTTTTCGCACTTTTGGAAGGACTTGAACCCGAAACAGAACTGTCAGAGGATTGGTGACTAGAAGGGGGTAGACTACTATGATGCCCAAGGGTATTACTGGTATGTTGAAGTAATCCCAAAGATGCACTTCCCTGTTGTAGTAAGTTGCCACCTCCATCCTCTCCTTCGCTGCTGTCGTCAGATGAATCGCCGGTAAAAGGCATGGAACGAATTTGGCTGGCTCTCTGAAAAAATACATATTTAATATAACTAACAAGTAATATCGCTACAAAATATGTGAAAATCTTTCAAATTTAAAAGGTAAGCAGCAGGATTTTTTTTACAAGATAATATTATTAACTACTGCTCATGATCAACATTGACGTTGGGATTAGAGTATATGAATTGTGTATAATTTATTTTCAGCAATGTTGTTCTTTTTTAAACTTAATCCTTCTACAAAAACAGGGCTTCTAAAAATGAATAGAATACTTGGGCATTCTTATTTTATATAAGAATAAAATTATAAAATAAATTACTTCTTATAAACCAAAATATATATACCTTAATACATGTTAATATATAATTAACGATTACATCTATAATAGCAAAAATATATTTTCCCAGATTTACATCAATTTCTTAAGATATTTTTTTAACTCCCCGAAGATCATCAAAAAATTTTATGTTTTCTCGACGTTTCAAGCCATTCTGAATCGAATGAGACCAAATTTAGAAAAGGTATGTGTGTGTGTGTGAACAGATTTTTTGCCGTAAATCGACGTTTTCTCAAAAACGGTTGGACCGATTTCAAAAATTGAAAAGCCATTCGATGCGATGAGGACTAGCCTTTATCAAATTTGCGCGACGACCAGCCAAGCCGTTTCTTTGTACATAGCAGCAGATCTATATCAATATTGGATATTCAAAAACCATTCGAAAGATATTGGTTGGGAATCGTGCTGATTAGTTATTGGTAGAGATCGGCCGGGCCGTTTTCTTGTAATAAAGTATTAAAAAAAGTTTTTTCGATTTATTATTATTTTTTTTGATGGTAGATAGCATAGTCTTCTAGATCATTCTAAAATATTACGGACCTACGACAAGTCGTTTAATTTTAAAAATTCGTCAAAGTTTGCAAAAATTAGTATCTTTTTTTTAGCATTTGCCAAAATTAGAACTTTCATCAACGTTTGCTCCAAAGCGCCTGAACCTATTTCAGAAATTTAAAAACCATATGATGTATCTCGATGAGGATTATCGTTTCCCAGTTTTGTAATTTGGGAAAAAGTGTTAAACATTTCATCCACATTTAAGCTCATACTACCGAATCGATTTTAAACTAGTGGGGCGGGTGGCATCGTGCCTTAAGGCAAATTGCTGGAACTTCCGTTACCGTAACAAAATGTTCGAGGAATATTGAATGTTTTCAAATAGATTATTATAAATATTGTAACATTGTCTAATATTTATAAGAATTATATAAACTGAATTGCAGAGTTGAAATTATTTGTTTAAAGTATATTAGAACTATAGTCAGAATTAAAAATAAAATCTGAATTATTTTCGATATACAAAAATTAAAAAAAAAAAAAAAAAAATTAAACAATTTTTTTTTCCAAAATCAATTATTTTGTTAAGACAAGCAGAAAGTTCTTTGAATCAATTGAATCGGACGCTTAGTTCTCTCAAAAACTGCCATTTTTGTACATTTAGCTCTGTATCTCCGAAATGGCTGGGCCTGCTTTTGCGAAAAACTAATAACCCCTTCTCCCAATCATTACTAATTGAATGTGTTTTAGATCATTCAAATCGGATGCTCCGTTCTCTCAAAAACTCGATTTCTATTTTCTGCACTCTTTGCTCCTCATCTCCGTAACTGCTGGACCTGCCTTTGCCAAAAACTAATCAGCACATCTCCTTATCAATAGGAATCGAATGTTTTTTAATCGGTTGATCCGTACGCCCGAAAACGTGGGCGAAAATTTGTATCCATACATACATACACACACACACACACATCCATTTTTTCTGAAGTATGCCAAAATGTTCAGAAACCTTCAAAACGTCGAGAAATGTAAAAAATTCAACAATTCCGATTTTCGGCCCATTACAATAACTTACCCTACGGGAAGTTAAAAATCAACTGTCCGAAACAAATTGGTTGGGAATGATACTGATTAATTTTAGGTTAAAATCGACCGAGCCGTTTTCTTGTAATTCGTTGTTGAAAAAAAAATTAGGCGATTTTTATGAAACTTTTTTTGATGATATATATCATGGTCTTATAGAACTTACTGAAATATTACGGCCTTACGACAAGTAGATTCATTTTAAAAATTCATCAAAGTTTGAGAAAATTAGTAGTTGTTTTGACGTTTGTTCAAATTAAAATTAGACGAATTACCTGTTATAAGGATAGAGAACTTGGTCTTAATGAAAATACTAAAACATTAAAGTCCTACAGAAACTGGTTCAATTATAAAAATTGTTAATTTTTGAAAATTTGCTCTTAGAAAATACTCCGAGTTAACGTGTTCGTTCGTTTTACTTTAATCACTCATAAATCAATTTATTTTTTATTGATTAAGTCATGTAACTTGCTTCAAGGCAAAATACCAAAACCAACTAGTAAGTTATTTTTTAGATGCAGGTTTTATCTTAAGTTTTTGTAACCACCAAATAAACTACAATTAATAATTACTAATTTTTCTTACCCCTTTAACAGTTGCATAAACAGGCACACTTATATCACAATATCCACTAGATAAATTAACTCCATGACTATCACTCTCAGTAGCATCACCCATCCCATTGTTTAAGACCGTCGCTCGCCAACTGTGCAATAACCAAGATAAACAAACATATTAGAAAAGAACACTACTTTTACTAAATTTTATAGTATATAACTCACCTGATAAATTTTTGCCTCCCAGCTAGGAAATCGATGCAATGGTGGGGTAGGTGGTTTAGGCATGCATGTATCAATAATGCTCGTATCACAGCTGACGCGCTTTGAACCTCCTGTGTCGTCCATGCCATCTTTATTGTTGGCAAGCCACAATGGAAGTTTATCTTCTTCACGAGAAGGTGTATAAATCTCAGCATAGTCATGTAAAAAATCCGAATGGGAAGACGAAGTTGCAGGCAATAATGGACGGTTATGCAGAGCCAGGCCATCTACGGCTTCCTGTGATTAATAAAAATGTTAGCAAAAATGTTTTTGCTAAATATCGTATGCATAATTAATATCTATTTTAGTTTCGAGTTTATTCTGTAATATTTTGATGCATAAACATGTTCAAACCAAGCTATACCTTGAACAGCTATAAAATTTATTAATAGCTACAATTAATTTAAATTATTTGATTTTGAAATAATTTAATTAAATTTAAATTATTCATAAATTTTCAATATTCATCATTTGAAATTTATAAATATTTAGAATCATGTAAAATTTATAATTTTTTTTTTATTGATATATTATTTTCATATATCAGTCAGATAGGAGTGCTTGGTATAAGAGATTATGAAACATTTTTCATATTTTATACATACATATCGTTTATGTATATTTCATTATACATTAATAAGCCTTATATGTAATATATCTTTAAATATCTCTTCAATCGCGCTCCAAATGACATTTCCTCTCAATTTCTTCTTTCAATTATGTTCAATGTGAAAATTTTCGTGTTGTCTAGTGTAGTGTTCATGTATATATTGATTTATATATGTCTATTGTTGTACTTGTTTTAATTCTGTTATATTTCATTCTGTGTATTAATTTGCATTTCTCTATTTTAATTATACTTTTGAGTGAAAGAATATTTGCTTCTGTGTGTAAGTATTTGTTGAGTGTTAAATGTGGAAAATCATATGATATTTTTATGGCTTTGCTTACTATTCTCTGTATGTCATTTAAGTTAGTTATAGTCGTTTAGCTCCACGATGTTGTTTCATATAAAATTATAAGTAATATATGTGCTTTAAGAATTAGTATCTTATTTTTTTTAACAAAGAAGTGGTACCATTTCAAAGCTCCCGTTAATACAGCTATCTTCTTTCTTATTTCATTTATATATTCTGTCCATGTTAGCTTTTCATGTATTATTAGGCCCAGATATTTTATGTATTTTACTAATTCTATCTCTATATTATATATTTTAATTTTTATTTTACTAATATCCTTGCATTTTTTTAA